CTAAAATCATATTCTAGCAAAGCAAACATTAATTAGATAATGACAGAAATAAACATGATTATAAACCAAGAAGACTGGAGAACTGCATACCTAAAAAGAAAATATTAGTAATACTGGGAGAATAGTGAAAAGTAGGACTTGACCTAGAGGATGAATGAGGATGCCTTTCTGAGGAATTTGACATTAGAGCTTAGATCTTGAGGATGCTTAGGAATAACTAGGAAGGAGAAGAATTCTTTGCATAAGCCACACCTTGCAAATACCTTACTGTGGGAACTTTCTAGAAACAACAGAGAGCTGAAAGTCAGTGTATCTTGGGGGCAGAGACTAGGAGATACTTTACAATATCAGTTTAGACGAGTAAATTGGGGGCCTACACAAGGCTGGACAGAATCTCTAATTTAGATTTAAAATGTAACACTGGTGCTCAAAAAGATGTCCAGATTGAATAAGACTGTGATGTCACACATACCAATATGCTCTCAGGTATTTAGAGTTTGAGCAAAGAAGCAAAAGTATTAAATATACTCTATATCAACTTTGGAGTTTTATAGCACTTTACTGTAAAGTACTTTAATACTCCTGAGATCTAAAGAATTTGATTCTTCTATGATTAATACATCTATAAGCAATGATTGCAGAGGATGGGGGGGGAGGGTAATATGTTGAGGACCATCTGTTAGAAACACTGCTATGTATTTATTATGTTTTCTGAGTCTTAAACCTGTGAGAAAATATTTTCTTATTCTTGTGTCTTAGAATGCAGATTTTAAAAGGTTAAGCAACACTGTCTTGAGAAATGTAATTTACACCTCCATCTCTCTAAATCCAAAGCCGGTGTTCTTGCTGCTACATCGCCCCTGCTGGGCATTTCCATGTTGACCAACTAACTTCACTAGTCCCTTCCACACTAGGTTTAGAAGAAATCTTATACAAAATCTTACAATCCTTTAATATGCTATAACTTTGTTAGATGTAGGAAGATTTGTTGAAGAGGTATTAGACATTTAGCTTTCTTTAGAAATGACCTCCAAGAAAAAAGATAAAAAGAACTCTGGTTCAAGAGATACCAGGAAAAGATGAGATTTGTGTTCCATAGATGTTCAAATCGGTGGACTATGTTTTCAAGATAATAGA